AAAAATAATTTTACAAAGCATTTAATCTTACTTTAAATACATTTAAAAAGCGTCATAGTTTAACTAAGAAACTTTGTCTCTTCTACCTACAAAAAACGTCTTTATTTCATCACAAATTGAATGTTATTGAGCATCGATCAGTGGGTGGTGCAGCAGGTAGCTGTTGCCTCAGTGACGGGGTTGTCACGGTCGCTTTAAAGTGATCGTATTTCTGTTCAAAGTGTGAGWGCTGAAACAACTAATGTAAAGACTGAAGAAATGATACTGGTGTACATCAGTGACATAAGATAAAATGAAAGAAAAMAAGCTCACATGTTACTTTTAAACAACTCATCTTGATATTCTTCAAACACTGTATATTTAAAAAACAACTGCTTGGATCAGGAACAGAGGATCACAGAAGGTCAGCCTGGATCTAAAGACGCTCTGTCTCTACATTCTTATCATTCCAGCTGCAGAACGTCTGAACCTTAAAAACAGTCAAGAAACACACGTCTGCCCCRATTACAAACATTCCCAGGTCAAAGTTTAAGATCCCAGTTGGCCACAAGTTGGCCTCACTTCCTGTCACAGAAAATGTGACCATAATATTAAATGATTAAAAGCTCTAATTAAAGGCAGTGGAACTCCTCCATTGGTCAGTCACGTGCGTGCCAGTTTGGCAATCACGGTTATCGTCTCACACTTTAACCATCCACGTCGACCACAAAGGCACCATAAAATCTCCCAGAAGGCCACGTGAATAAGGAAGTATGCTCCATCTTCAACACATYGACCTCATCTGGGCCCAAAATGTTCCACTGAGACTCAGCAAAACCCACAGCTACTCTGCTGTAATGTTACAGTAAATGTTCGTTTCCACTCAGTGCCACTGGAGTAAGAGATAAATTCTACATTTGAATTGGGAAATCTGTTCTAAAAAGGTTTTTTCTGTTTCCGAAGCTTTAATAAGTTTGTTTCCTTCAACAGACTTGAGCTATGACTTTCAGCCTATAATAAAAAACATCAACTTTAAATGGCTTTTTTAAAATAACCCCTTTTAAGAAGTGAACATTAAAACACTAAAAGATAAACTGGATTTGCAGTCTCTCACTGTCATAAACAAAAGTGAGATTTTATTTTTTTAGACTAGCCTCCTCTCTTTTTTTCTCTCCTCTAACAGGATTTCCTCCAGACACAAAGACCGCCGTGAATTGCCAAACAGATATGATTTGACTCAGTGGGACTTCATTCCTGTCATTCTTACTTCATTACAAAAGGTGTTGAGGCCGCTGTAAACCCATCAGATGAAGCACATGCGTGCAAACAATTAGCGCTCCAACATGCAGACAATAGGGCAATTTCCCTCCTCACATTCTGGAAGAACTAAAAGGAAATGTTTAATGTACGCCAAAGATAGATTCGACGTTACTTTTAAGAAAATTTGGCGGTTTTGTGATGAAAATGCTCAACCTTTTAAAGTTTAACCAATAGATATGCTTGTCTCTCCTGCTGCCCTTGTGTTAAAATGACCCAGGAGACACAGCAGAGAGTTTGGGACCACAAAGGGAAACGACAACACAAAGAAAGAAACAAATCTTACCTTGCCGTACTCTGTGGTGAGAACCAGTGACAAGTCATCACAGGAGCTGACGGTGGAGGGGAGAAGCTGTTCTTTATGTCTCAGCCACACTCGGGCTCCCTGCAACACAAAACACAGCAGCGTCCTCAACATGTGGACACACAAAACCTTTGCAATAAATATGAAAAATACCCTAAATGGTAATTATGTTGCATATGRCAACATTGATGATAGGTGGTTTGAAAATCAAACTCATGGTCCACTGCTGGTTGAGGATGTTTGATGTAAACTTCACCTTAATCTGCAACAAACTATTGCCATAGTGGGTCCCAGTCTTTGGGTTTGTGTGGTCAGTTTATTCCACTGAGGAGAAAAAAAWATAAAGCTTTGAATGAACTTTTTAACAAAATCAATCGACACAAACGTGTCTTTTTCCATCACTTTTTATTCCTTTCAGTATTTCCAACAGACAACCCACAACAGACTTTACTTCCTGTTTCCAGACAGAATCTGAGCACCAGAACCACTCTGGGCAGCAGAAAGTCTTGTGTTTGTGACACGAGTCGGATTTTATTCATCCGGGAAAAGGAAATCTGCATAAATCATCTAAAGATACATGAAGATATCCAAACTAATACTTTACATAGTTTAAAATGAACAAATGAATCCCATCAGAGAGCAGCGGAACAAAATAAGCTACCGCTGATGACCAAGCTACAAACCTGTGGTTGTGTGTTTATTACAAACTTAATTAATAATTTGATATGAATAATGTTTTAATTTAATTTAACACATGTTTTTAGCAATCATTTAGGAATGAAAAGGACAGTTAGAAGASAAGAGGAAGCTCTTTTGCAGTAAATCAATTAATTTCTGAGGATATGTGTGTTACTGGATCATTTATTTATGAAAGATGCTGCTGAAACATGGGTTTGTTGTGTGAAAAGATGTTAAAATCATGTCACCTTAATGTACATCAAGTTGTTTTTTAAAGGGGCAATGTCATGCAAAATCAACTTTTTTGAGTTTTATACCATGTTATAATGTTATACTCTCATAAAAAC